ATATTTTATTTTATATATTATGAAATTAAAAGATAAAAAAAATTTTTTATTTGCATAATTATTTGCATACAATTTAATAACTTTCTTTTTCATAAATTGTTCAATCGATATTCAATATCGATTTACATAAATTTAAATATATAAAATGTATAATTTAAAATAAATAATTTCTTATTCATTTTTTATGTTTTATTTATATTATCGCAGTTTTCAAATTTCATATAAATTTTAGAAATAAATTTTTTATAAAATTTTAAATAAAAATATTTTAATTAATTTTCTTCTAAAATTATCAATTATTTCGAATATAGTCAAAATTTATTTATCTTGCAATGTGACGTAAAATAAATAAATCGACCAATGTTACTTTTTAAAATTATAGTTTAAATTAAAAATTATTTTTTACATTAAATAAATAATATTTTAGAAAAAATTGTAACAATTTGATTCTTTTATATTGAATTTAAAATCATATTTTTCAAATATAATTCATATTTGATTGTTCAATTCATATATTTATACATATATCTTTTTTTCTCTCTTATTACAATTCAATTTGAAATAGATAATTATATTGTTTGATAACAAAGTATTTTAATTATTATTTACCTATATACATTACTGTCATACATATATCCAATCAGCTGTTTCTGTTTCGGTTCTCATAGTAGTTATCCTATCCGTCAGTTCGTCGCCAGTCTTGTGTCTATCTTTATTTTCTCTTGGAAATCAATTTCAGTATAAAATTTCGACAACGAATTATTAGTTATGGCAACGAATTTTAATTAATATATATAACGATAGTGTTGAAACATAAACTATCAAAAAATAGTTTAATAATGTATTGGAAGGATGGACGTCTAACCTCACTTTTCAGCCGCTAGATTCCTCGGACAATCATGTGAATTATCGAAAGCATTCCAATGTATCATTTAAATCGATCATATTTCTCTTCTGCGAAATATCGGAGCGCCTTAAATTATTCTTTTTCCTTTCTCAATGAGGTTTCTCGTAAAATCAAAGTGCAATATCCTCGAAAACTCATAGTACCGGTGCTCCGAATCAACTTTTTAGCTAATTATAATATAGTACGATGACTGAGAAATCTAGAAAAATAGTAACCAGATTTCACCCTACTCACGGGGAAAATATTATGTTACGCGAAGATAACACAGTGGCGTATCGCACTGCCAGTTTTGCAAATTCTCTGGCTTTCAGTGAAAAACCATTACAACCAGGTGAAATATTCTTGGTAGAAATTGAAAAGACTGAAAGAGGATGGAGTGGACATATGAGATTGGGACTGACTCTGATAGATCCTGCATCTGTGAATAATAGTCTACCAGAATTTGCTATGCCTAATCTCGCTAAACTTGGAAATACATGGATATTTGCCATTACAAAAAGTCTATATGGATTATGGGATGGTTTTGATAGTTATGCTCAAAGAATCTATGGTAATCTTAGTTGTATACGGTTTTAAGCATTGTTAATTAAGTTAATTAATTTTATATTTAAAAAATTTATGATAATTTTACTTTATTTTACAGTTTTAAACATTATTAATTAAGTTTTTGTATATGTATTCTCTTTAAGGTGAAATCCCATCTGAAGAAAAAAAATTGATCACAGATGGAGTAAATGTGCAAACTTCTCGTGGAGTTATTCCATTTAATGCTCTCAGACCAAACACAATTGATTCTTCTCAATATATATTACCCACAGATGCTGGTAGTCGTATTGGAATTATGTATGTGCCACAAGCTGGTTCTGACAAGGCAGAAATGCATTTCATAATTAATGGTGAAGACCAAGGTGTATGTGAAAAAGACATACCATATAAAGCAGGACCTTTACGCGCTGTAGTAGATGTATATGGTACCACAAAACAAGTTAGGATAGTTCAACTATATGGTGGTATGTTATTTTTCCTTCTTACAAGTACAATATTTTTCTAAATATTTTGTTTCTTTTTTTTTTTTGCTAATAATTATATGTTTCAGCAGTATCTACCCTACAAAGTGCCTGTCGTGATGCTATACTACAGTATACTAAAAGAAATGCAGTTGATTCACTTCCACTTCCAAGGGTTCTAAAAGATTATCTATTATATCAATCACAATGAAATTTACATCATTCCATCTTGTCTCTTGATCGTAACTTTGTATAGGCATTTTAGTATTCGCATAATTTCTTCAACCATTTCAATTTTTCTACAATTTTCAACGTATTTATCGCGTATAAATCGTTCTTTCAATTATTCTAATTACAATACTTTAGAGAAGATAAATGTAAGCCTAAAGCGAATTTAGAATTATTTTCACTCTTCCAGTTAGCTGTTCTTTCATTTTTTTCAATATGTATATTTCATCGTGTATGTAGCATATGTAATTCACGTGAATGTTAAATCGTATCATGTACATAATGTAAGAAGTTGTTGACGAAACACCGAGTAAATTCTGATAAGCAAAAGATCACGTTTTTTTTTTTATTCTTGCATTTAGCATTTATTAGTAATTACAATTTTTACAAGTTTAAAAACTCTATTGTTCGCTAAAATTACTCGCACATTTCATGCCGCATCATAAATCGTATATGAAGTTTCATCTAAAATAAGTTTCACGCAGAATTATTGATGTATATCATATCGTTCTTTTTTTATTGTTATAACTCATGTAACAAAGATAATAATAAGATAAACTTGATCGCACTGTTAACAAATGCAAAAATAGATCCGATTGACGTATTCAATTAAATACGACATGTTTTTCCAAAATAAATGTATTTATAAGAAAAAAAAAAAAAAAGAAGAATCAAAATTTTTTCTTAAAACACCCAAACTATTTTATCTTTTTATACATCATATATAAATTCATGATTAAATTATTTGATGAATATTTAATTTTTCCTTCTCCTTTTTTTTTTCTAATATAAATTTTCTAAATTAAGATACATAAGTTAAATTTCATAAATTAACTTTTAAAACTTTCATATTTGTTTCTTGGTATAAAAATAATTAGCATAATTATGTAAGCGAATGAGATACATAAGAAAGCGCTCCATCCGATTAAAATGGACGTGTATCTCCATGTATACTGTTTCCTATCCAGAGATACCAAACTTGTGTTATCATCCTCGTTCATTTCGATTCTTGCCGATACTTTTGAATCCAGAATAGTAATTAAAAACACTTGTCCTACTTTGCTTTTTAAAACAGATTCAGTGATGGAGGATATCCATGTTGGAGCGTCAGCGTGTAATTCTTGTAGGTATCGCAAGATGCTTGTCAATATAAGCGAGAATGCGGCTAGAGCAAGAGATTTCTCATAAAACAACACTAAAAAAAAAGAAAATAATATTTAATAATAATAATTCAAGATAACGCAAAATATTTTCATCCCAAATTTTTATTTTCATATTAATTCGAATTTAATTAATAATAATCGTAAAAATTAAAGCATTACTCAAGTTTGGTATTTGAATTCCATTGAAAGGAATTCTCCATTGCACATCTAACAAGCAAAATAGATGCAGAATAAAATTCAGATTTGCTATAATCATACGCTCCGTGGAACTTGGTTCTAACCATAATGTCATCAATGTCATAGTCATTAATACTGTAATTTAAATGTGACATAATCTTTTTTTTTTTACTCCATCCACTTATCATAATATATGTATTTTTTTTTTTTTTTTTTTTTTTTTTTTTTTTTTTTTTTTT